GATTTTTACAAATTTAAAATAAAAAAAAACACATTGATTAAAAACAGAAAAAAGTAAATAAAATTTCAAGAGATAAGTATACTTTTTTTTTTAATTTACAACGCACTATCACGACAGTCACACTTTGACTGCTGAGCGAACTAAATTTCCCGCAGCACTGATTGGACAAGCAATGTCATGTGATCATCTGCAGCCAGTGATGGCCAAGTGGGCGTGTCATAATTAATTAACATGTTGAGTCACATGTGTCTTACCCTCCATGGCAGAGGCTTCGTCGAACCCCTGAGACGGCTCACTGAACCACTGCGGTTCGATGGAACCCAGGTTAAGAACCACTGCCATAGATTCGATGGCATAGAGGAAAGATGCCTCTATGCAAACTTATACATTGAAATATAATTCCACGCTCGATACTTATATGTCAGCAATACATTGCGAAATCATGTTACGAATTAAAATATAAAATTCATGAATATAAGTACAGTATAAAACTACAGTGAATACAGTTGGTGTAAACATTTCCTTATTTTAGAAAGAATTTGACTGTTTGGACAATGCAGCATCTGGCACCCTACTTGTATAAATAAAGCTGTGCAAACCAGTGAAAGCAGGAATGGGGGGGGGGGGGGTCACTAGGCCCCCCAAAAGCTTCAGCTGACTCCTTGACAACCTGCTGAGTAACATGAGCTCCAACTTGTCTGTCTTACACACAACCACTAAGTCAACAACTCTCGTACAAAGACCTGAGTACTGAGCAATCACACACACATAGGAGGCCCATTGAGACGAAATATTGAAATATTGAAGTACCCCCATCAATACTCCTTTTGGATAGAAACAAAACAAAAAGTGACAACTGTTGCGATTGTTGCACCCAATTTAGCATCGCTTGTCTTGATATACAGATTCAATCCTGACTTTCAAGTTCTTTTTGAATAACCATAGGCAATGAACTGCATATAAAATATCCTGGAAAACCTAGGAGTTCAATGTCTAGCTGTGTGTTGAGAACTGCACTAACATCTCTTTCTTGTACAGTGTGCATCACTGCAGTATAAATTTATGTAAAGTGTTTACCAGATGAGTGTGCGTACAGTAACTGAACAATGCAAATATCCATGTAGCATTTCGGGCCGTTACTAACTCTATTTCTGTTTTTGAAATTCTGTAGTTGCAATGTTGCCAGTGATTTGGAGGAATCACAGGGATGACTTGAAGCCTAAAAGTAACAAACCACATATGACATGGCTTTACTGCCACCATCTGTTTGACAGTTGGAGGTACAATGCGGCACTCAGTCCCTTCGTTATTTTTTGCAGTTGGTATTTCATGAAGTGACTATCTGCAGGTGCAAATCAACGTAAAGCTTTCTGGATTGGTGCCAGAGAGGGGTTCGGCTATTATTTTACAAATTTGCAAAACTACATGTTAGTAATCATCTATCGTTTTACTGTACATGTCAACAACAACGTTTTATGAAATAGATGCATGCAGTGGTGAGTGGTTAAAGGCGTTTGCCAAAGTCTTGAAGCAGTTTTATACGTGCCATGCACGTTTTTGGAATGTGGGAGGAACCCGGAGTACTCGGAGAAAACCCACACAGGCCCTGTGAAAACATGCAAACTCCACACAGGGAGGCCAGAGCTGGGATTGAACCTGATACCTTTACATTGTGAGGTAGACCTGCTAACCACTGGATCACCGGGCCGCCGGAAGCATTACATCGGTTTCAAAATATTGACAGCTGTGCCTAGAAGGAGGACTGAGCGAGTCCAAGCATGAGCAGCCTCCCACCAGCCGTACAGCGACACAGTTCAGAGTATTTTTACCTTATTGTAAAATATTGGCTGTTCGATGTCTGAGAGGGGACAACAGGCTCCGCCTGAAACACTGCCACCTAACCCGCACCCATCGACCTCATAGGGTGTAGGACGGTACTGGGTGGACTCTAGTGGTCCTGGGAGAGAAGCTACATTACATAATTTACCTTGGAAGATACTTACAACAGCCACTATGGTCGACGGAATGAGATTGTGGCATATGTTAGCATTTTTAGCACAAAGGTCAAACCCCTGTGCATCTCCCCCGCACCAGAAGCTTTGGTGCCTTGTTACATGGAATGCAGAAGTGCTGTGTGCATACAGTCCATTTAAGGGCCTATTTAATTAGACATTCTGTTTATTAATAATAATTAGATTTTTGAAAGTGTAACATTTTGTTTCGTTTCAGACAAAATAGCTTCAATAGTTCATATTTGTAGTCATCCTTTATATCCAAACTAAAGGCAATGCACTAGTGCAATGGATGCCAGCTATCTTAGCAATGCAAAGTAAATCGAGAGTGATACCTTTAAGAGCCGATAATGTCGCTGATGGTGGAGAGATACACTTGCCTGACTTATGTGCGGGCAGTGTGGGATCGTTTCTCGCTCAGTGACGATATGAATGTGGGTGTGAATGGTTGTTCATCTCTATGCCCTGTGACTGACTGGTTCAGGGCATTGTCCCCCTTCCGCCTGAAGTCTCCTGGGATAGGCTCCAGCACCCTCCCGCGACCCTTTTCAGGATAAGTGGTGGAATAATGATAGATTGTTATGTAGTCAATAGAAATAAACATAGATATTAGTTAAAAGCTCCATTTAAAAAAAATGGATCTTGAGTCTAGTTATCCGCAATGACATACAGTATTTCTCACTCATGCGTGTACGTGGAATGAAACTAATAATTAACAGATAAAATACGGGATGAGATACCTTTTTTCGATAAAGACACCCAACAAATGACTGTACATGACTGTACATACATAAAAAGGGGGGAACTACAGTGTTTCAGAGATGAAAATGGACTTTTCTGAAAATTCCGGGGAAAATAAATAAATAAATGACGTCACACACGACAACAGCTAAGCTAAATTAGCCGAGACGACACTCGAAGTCGGACGGACACGATTTTCTGCCAATCTGTGTTTTTCCCTTTTTGGCCAAATATATTTTTTACTACAACTGTCTTGTTGACGGCGTCTTTTATTCGTTCCACTGGGGTTTAGCAGGTGTGTTTATAAAGAGACGAAAATTGTTTGGGGACTATCTCCCGCATTCTAGTTGAGATGGTATAACCCAAGAGGCAAAATGACGCTTGCTACTGTTATTGCAAGTTGCCATTTGTTCTACTAAACCATTAGTCAAACGCCATCATGTCTTCTGCCGTTATTACACAAACAAAAATCTCTTTACTGTTACTAGTATTAGTGCCTCAATATGGCTACGCTCGTGAAAGCAATACAACGAACTCAAACGCGTCTTCGTTCAATGTTGTCAACTAATATCCGGATTAATTTTATGCAAATTTTCCTCAATTCTCCGGAGAAATTTTCATAGAAATTTGAAAAACCCGGAATTCCGGGAAAATCCGGAGGACTTTCATCTCTGAACTGTGTTTACAGCTTGAAGTGAACCATGTGGGACTTCAAAATTTAGCATTCCATCTGGAGATGGTGACGTCGTGTATGACGTCACTCATACACGAATTACAGGTTTACATTTTCAAGCAGAAAATCCGGTCACTATTTTGAGTTTGTGTCAGCTAAAGAAAATATGAAGGTACATTGTTGGTACACTCGCTCAGTCTCTGTGGGACTGTTGAAAAGTTCATTAAATCATGATTGCGTTATGCTATTCAATGCGCTGCGACATCAGGGGAGGAGATATTGCCAAGGTTCCAAAATACTACATAACAAAACAAGCCGTGTCTGGTTGCTGTACGACCTCATTATTGAAGTGCACTTTTAATTGCATTATTAAAACGGTATAAGCCGTTAACATGTTTAACTTTCCTTTTTTTGTTCATCATTGTGTGGCTGCACTTAATAACTCATGAGTTAAATAAATGAGGCATAGAAAATGAGTATGTGTCATGTCGTGTCAAGATTTGGGTTGTTTAATTATTTTGTATCACTCCATTATTGTAAATCAGCTATTCACGGTAACCACTATTTGCGATATGGTCACAAAATTAAAATGGAGACTTTAATTTTGTGTGCCCCTCCACTACATGAGTAATTACAACTAACTGAGAAGTAAAAAGTATATTAAAAGTAAAAAGTAACTTTTTACCCGACACAGACGGTAACATTCTTAAAAAAAAGTCTAATGCAAGTAACTAACTATTAATATGTAATACCTCACATGTTAGGAACCTGCCCAATACTGCTAATAGGACAACTGCGTAAAGTGAAGTGGACATTTTGGGATTATGTAGTGTGCCCAAGTGGCTATTAGGAATTATGCTGCCCAAACAGCTCGAGGACAATTCTTCTCTCTCAATTCTTCGTGCACCATCGTCAAAACCCGGAAATAATGGGCGTGCTCTGCTGTGTCGTCTGAAAGGGCGGTAGAATCGGATGATCCCCGAATGGGCGGAGACAAGTAGGAGGAAGCGGTAAGAGTGCTGACAGCCTCTAGGAACCGGTGTCGTGTATCTTCAGGCACTGTATCCCACATCCTTCCAGCGATAACACTGAGTTTTGACCCACCCCATCAAAAGAAGAGGACACACCCCTGCTCCTCTCAAAGATATCTTAAACCAGTGAAACCAGTTGACTTGTAATCGAAGCAACACTTGTGTGCTCGAGTTTCCAGAAGGGCCCGGGGATTAACGGGTAAACGACAGTGGGATGGAAACTCAGATCCATGTGCCTGTCGGCTCGCCGGTTATACGCAGGATTCACGTTTTTGTAGACGAGCACAATGTGACGGAAGGAGCAATGAAGATCATGAAAGAGCTGAGACCGGCGTGGGAGACGAACCATGTCAGGACCAAGGTTTGTCAACTGCGAAGCTAGCTGTGCGCTGTATGCTAGGCTAAACTAAGATTGGCAGTCGTGTGTAGTCGCTGCAGCATCACAAGGGAAGAGCAGAAGGACGACCCGAAAACCGTCTAATTCATCTATTTCTCACCACATCGGTTTACCTTTTTTGTCCGGTTACAAAGAAAAAATTATTTTGGGTTGAAAAATTGACTAAAAATGACCACAAGTGGTAACACTGGAAGACCCCATATAGCGACAAATGATTTCCAGTGAACATTAAGTTACCCCGGTCGTGTCTAAAATTTGGCCCACGGGCCATTTTCGGCCCATCATCCATTTTCATCGGCCCCTCAACATATACTCAAAGACTAGTTTAAAAAAAAAAAAACCAAAAAAAAATAAAGGTGGAGGTGGGCAAAGTGACACGGGAAGGTGTTGGAAAAATACGTCCCACTACTAATAAATTGGTTTATGTACTGCAGAGGATGTCTACATTTGCAAAGATACAACACATTTTTAAAAATCCATAATAATCACATAAATTCTCTGCAAAGCACATGTGATGCCACTTTAGAAGCAAAAATTGTGAATTCCACTTAATGCTCGGTTTCAAGGTGCAATTTATGAATATTGACGACCCTCACTCTTGCTTGCTTCCTTATTACATACGACCCTCTTCAAAAGTATTGGAACGGCAAAGTCAATTCCCTAGTTTTTGTTGTACACTGAAGACATTTGGGTTTTATTAGACAAAAGTTCATTTGTCCAGCTTTTATTTGATGGTATTTACATCTAGATCTAAATGATGGAATGTTCTGAAAAAGAGACACTACTGGTGTGCTGATCAGCATTCATCAAAGAGTTACTAACAGCAGTTGATGACAGAAACCACTCAGCAAAAAGAATTGGAAAGCCACATTTGATTTTGCAAAGTACAGAGATGAGGCACAAAAGTTTTGGAACAAAGTTATGGACAGATGAGATCAAGATTAACCAGTAAAACAGTGATGGAAAGGCCAAAGTATGGAGAAAGAAAGGATTTGCTCATGATGCAAAACAGACAAGCTCATTTGTGAATGGATGGTGGAGGTTGTATGGCTGCTTCTGGAACGGGCTCACCAGTTTTTGTTGATGACAGTTGGAGGAGAAGGAATTCTGAAGTCTACAAAAACATTTTGTCTAAAAATTTCCAGAGAAACACATCCTAACTAATTGGGAGGAGCTTCATTGTGAAGCAAGACAATGATCCAAAACACTGCCAACACAACACAGGACATAATTGGGGAAAAAAGTGAGAGGTCCTAGACTGGCCAAGTCAAGTCACCTGCCTGTAACCCAATAGACTAATAGAGAATGCATTTCATCTCCTTAAGGGGAGACTGAAAGGTGAAACTCACCACAAACAAACAATAACAGAATGAGGCCTGGAAATGTATTTCAACTGCAGTCTGCTACAATCTTGTGAAGTTGATGGGTTGCAGGCTTGATGTAGTTTTTGTAACTAAGGGTTATGCCATCATATATAAATCAATAACGTTGATTCCAATACTTTTGCTCACTTGAAAAGCGGGTGGATTCAAACAAAAGCTGCGCTGTTTTGTGAGTTGTTAACCAAAATGAGATGTAATTACTGACAGAAAAGTAGGACTTGTGAACTTCTATCTTATTATCTTTTGACGTGAAAGCCAAATGTTTTCAGTGTACAACGAAAGCAAAGGAATTGAAAATGTAATTGCCATACTTTTGGAGGGGACTGTACTTCATACGAAAAAAAGGTATGCTAATGAAGACAAATATTCATCATGCATTCTGTAACGTCCTTAAAGTGGTGTGAGTTGTTACTTGTATATTGTCTGTACAGTTACAATTTTTTTACTCGACCCACAATGGGGAAAAATGGACAAATCAGATTTTTTGAAATGGGGTTTTAACTTCCATCCATTAAAAAACAGGATTTTTTTCCCCCAAATTGACAGTGTATGATATTGCACAAAAAAATTATCATTCAATATTTGGATTTAATCCGTATCATGTCAGAAAATTGGCAAAATTAATCATTTTTTTCCAAAGTAGAAATGGTTGCAAATGTCATATTCTAAAAAACAAAAAATCCCACAAAGATAATCAGCCTGCTTTTGTGAAAGACTACAGAAATTGGAGATTTCACTCTTGAGGCTGAAATTCCAAGGAGTTGACACTTTACAATCAAGATTTTTCATTGATTAATTGAAAGTGCTATATTAAATATTTATATATTGTATTCTCAAAAATAAGTCAATCATTGCACCTCTATTCAAGACTTAATCATCCTCAAATTACAGTAAATCAAACTTGAATGAAATACATTCCCCTCCATGTAAAAAAAAAAAAAAAATTTTTTTCATAAACAGACAAAGGTACCCGCAGATAAATGACAGTCCTGCAGTCATGGGAGCTCGAACAACCTCCTCACCCCCACGTGAACCTTGGCTGAATGTTTACGTCTGTCTGCCTCCAAAGTTGCTGTCTGTCGACATATTGGTCAATGGTGTTAGCGGTGTATTGTGTGGCAGGTGGAAGGGATCAGTCACGTAGTAGACAACTGTGTTTTTGCCAGTGTGTCGACAGTCATAACAAGGATGGCTAGACATCCACCTTTGTGGTTGGCCATGTATGGAATGCCAGATATGTGGTAGTGAGCGCCTGAGATTTGACATACAGTCCGTGTCCATGTTGTGTTGACTGTAGTCAAGTTGGATGTTTTGCCCCACAGGGTTCCATTTCGCTTTTATTTTTGAGCACTTACCGTATTTTCCAGATTATAATTAGCTCCGCAATAGAAGTTGCACCAGCCATAAAATGCATAATAAAGAAGAAACAAACATTTATAAGTCACAGTGGAGTATGTCATATTTTTGTGGGAAATTTATTGGATAACATCCAACATTAAGAACAGACATGTCATCTTGAAAGGCAGATAAAAATATAGAACAGACTGAATCAGTGTGCGACTTGCTAACATTACGTGATGTATAAACAACGAATGGAGAACGTGCCTGGTGTGGTCACGAAACATATTAAGAGTTATTCAGATAACTATAGCATAAAGAACATGCTAAGACATTTACCAAACCATCAGTGTCACTCCAAATCACGAAATCCAATGAAATCTTCACCCTTGGTGTCACTTTTAAACAAATCGTCTTCTACGTCGCTTACATCAGACTCATCGTCAATATATCAACACAGGCCTAGAGCACCCTCTTGCTGTTTAATGTGAAAATAACATGATATAATAATTTCACATATAAGATAAGATAAGAAAACCTTTATTAGTCTCGCAATGGAGAAATTCCCAATTCACAGCAGCAAAGTTATGAAAGGAAGAAGTAGAACAACAAAATATAGGAGCTGCTGGAAAGGCAGCCACTCTCGCGGCGCCATTTTGTATAATAATAATAATAATAATACATTTTATTTATAAGCGCCTTTCAAAACGCGTCTGGCTGCCGCTGCTCACCCGCACTGTGGTTTTATTGTTCTTGTTCCTGATTGTAAAGTGTCCTTGAGTGTTTTGAAAGGCGCTTATAAATAAAATGTATTTTTATTATTATAAGCATATAAATCACTCCAGAGTATAAATCGCACCCCCATCCAAACTATGACGCCCCCCCCCCCGCGACTTATAGTTCAGAAAATACGGTAGTTAAATCTTAATTACGTGAGACCCCGTCTCAAAAAGAATATTAAATAGCGACTGAAACATTGTATTCCAGTCATCTCGCATTTTCTTTTTGGAATTTTTCAAATCATGCCAGTTCTCACATTATTTACTCTATTACAGCCTTCTTCCTCAACTGGCGGACCGCGATCCACGACCGGACTGCCGACCTCCTCTGTCCGGACCCTCGGCAAATTGTATAAAATAATAAATTATAAAGTGATTTTTACGTTATACATTTTATATTTGTGGACTATAATCTGCGCATTACCGCGATCGCTTGTTAAAATTATCCGTTGTATTCTTTGCCTGCACTAACAGATGTATTGCACAGGACTGCAGCAGTGCGACTGTGTGTTGTATAATGTTTGACTAACTGGAGACCCTGGCTGAGCAGGGCATGTCGCCGATAACGATGCGCTGATTGGCTCCTCTGAACTTAAGGTGTGCCCATACATAAGCGTCAGCACGCGTCTATCCCAATACACACGCATTCAAAATGGATGATTGTGTCAGGAAACAGACGCATGCGCGACGCCACAGTTGTGCTCACAGCTTCAGTCCAGGAGAGCCGGCGCACACAATTAGACAAGACCAATCGCTGGAGGTTTCGATTGTGTGCAGTTTTGCTCCCGTCTACCCGGGGATCTTTGCAGCTGTTTAACAGCAGAACAACGCACATGTTAAATGAACATCACAATGGCGTCCTCAAATAATATTTGCATGCCTCAGACATTGCATTCACCTTTAGTGGAAGAACAGCACAGGACATTCCTGTGCTCCCTTGTGTCAGTATTTAAAATGGTTCTTAACTCCTCTTCTGATATATTTTTCAGTGATTTCAGAGGGGATGTGAAAAGGGGAATTGTACAAATGATAAGGATATTGTTGTTTTCATATTTAGTATTTATTTTGGTAAAATGAGTTTTTTGTTTTGTTTTTGTTAAATTAAGGGGAAAAAAAGACAACTACTGTTTAACAAAGTTAAAGTAAAAATGTCTTATTTCCCTAAAAGGGCTATTTCTATTATTAATAAGCAGGCACAACTTAACAAAATAAAAGAGTTCCTGTGCCTCAACACAATACCTCTCATCATTTGCTGTGTACTGGCAAAGTGAATAATTGTTATTTTCATGCACCCTATTATTGGTTGGTTGTGAGGAGTGTTGATTTGTATAAGCTTGGCTTAACCCTACTAAATGGGCATATAGCCCTGCTCCCCATGACCGCCGTGCATGGGACCGGACCTTGGTCTTATTAAAAAAAAAAAGTGGACCTACAGCATTTCTAGTTGAGGACCACTGCTCTATTATATACTATATACTCAAACACATATATACACACACACACACACACACACACACACACACACACACACACACACACACACACACACACACGCATACACGTTTGAGTCTTGGCCTTCCCACACCCGCCGGTGTCTATCTCTCAAGCCTGTCTGAAAAAAAGTGCATACCTTTTCTTTGTTTTTTTCCTTCAGTTATTCACTGATGGGACAACCAACAAACTGGTGGGCTGCTACGTGGACGATAATCCAGAAGATGTGGTTTTGGTGCGTGTTTATGGCAACAAAACGGAGCTAATTGTGGACAGAGACAATGAGCTTAAAAGCTTTCAGGTACGTTTAATCTTCTAGTGTGTCAAAATGCTAAGGTGTTCCCCTCAGTGTTGTTCCACTTATGAAAGTGGATGTGTGTTATTTTTCACCTCCAGGTGCTGCATGCTAATGGTTGTGCTCCCCGTCTTTACTGCACATTTCAAAATGGCATATGTTACGAATACATGCAGGGGGATGCTCTTGGGACACAAGATGTTAGGGATCCTTCTTTACTCAGGTATGGACCTCCAAACACCACTCATATATATACACACACACACACACACACACACCATATTTTCCGCACTATAGGGCGCTTCGGAGTATAAGGCGCATCTTCAATAAATGGCCTATTGTAAAATGGTTTTCAAATATCGTGTGCACAGCATTCTAAGGCGCATAGAATAGAAGCTACAATAGTGGCTATGGTTGCAGAACATTTAAAGTACTACGTCCAAGAAATATAAATATATAAATATTGATCCATATTGTGTCCATTGATCCTCCCTCAGTGTATGTAGCATGAAGCACGACACAAAGTCCATAAAAATACAGGGTTTATTCCTTGGCAACCCATGAGAACTGGTCACAAACACGGACATGAAATATCTAACTACAAATGGTATTACAAAACAATAAATGAAAGACAAAAATGAAGACAATTGATTCAACAAAAAGGCACCCAAATCTCGTTGCCTTACATCCACAAGGGGCTAAGTATCGTGAGAAGTCTTGCTTGTCTCCTTCTTCCTTCATTTAGTCAGTAATTAACTATGCTTTTGGTGTCATCTTACTTTCATAATGGCTGTGCAGAGTTCACAAAGTAGTTGTCTGTTTGAGTGTGTGTTGGCAAATGCACATGTGAAGTAATGTCGGGCAGAACCCTTTTACGTTACAATTGGTTCCTGCTAATCGCCGTTATATGGCATACGAACACGAACAAGACAAACAACTTAATGGGGAATATAAAGAGACTGTAACACCAGATATAAGGTGCATTGGATTACAAGGCGCACTGTCGGCTTTGGTAGAAATTGAATGCTTTTAGGTGTGCCTTTTCGTGCGGAAAATATGGTAATAATATTTACAGTCTTTGCAGTAGGCTATTAAAGGGGATGTATAACGCCAAAATACACAAAGGATAAAGGATGACAACACACTTAAAATCTAAATATTAATATTTGCATGCGCATGTCTTCCCACAGACTGATTGCTGGAGAAATGGCTCGCGTCCACGCCATTCATGCGCATAACGGATGCATCCCGAAGCCCAATCTCTGGATTAAGATGCAAAAATACTTTTCCCTTGTGGCTACAGAGTTCACAGAACAAGCTTCCAACATAAGGTGAGATGTTTTTTCTCAACTGTTAGTTAGAAGACAACTTCTGGGATTCATGAAAGGCTTGAAAAAGATCATTTCACCACCACCACACTCCCAAGTTTAATTTAGTCAATTCATTTCAATGTTCCAGAGTCTGTGGTGGATGTTAACCTTTTGGAATCTCTGAAGCACTCTTTTTAAAAATACCAGCCTGGCATTATCATCCTGGAAAACGCCCATGCCGTCAGGGAAAAAAAGACTTCTCTCACAGTCCTTCCAGGATAGTTTTTATCTCAATGGTTGAATGAATCTCCTTAATTAGTAATTTGCCTGATTTCTGTTCTTTGCATATTTATCACACACAGATTTCAATTCATCAAACCGGTTTTAATCACACAGAGGCAACCCAAGGAACTAGAAAATGCAGTTTCTAAATGCCAATTAAATTTATTTAGACACACACATACACACACACACACACACACACCCTACCTGTCCCGATATGAAAAACTAATTGCCCCCCCCCGCCGAGCCTACTAATGGGTTGTGTTTGTGCCGCCCTTGGCAGCAATAACTGAAATCAAGTGTTTGCGATAATTGGTGATGAGTCTTTCACATCGCTGTGGAGGAATTTTGGCCCACTCTTCTTCTCAGACTTGCTTCGCAGACTTGCTTCACAAGGGTTGGAGCTGTTTTCTAGCATGAACTGCACGTTTAAAGTCACACCATAGCATCTCAATTGGATTTAAATTGACTTGGCCACTCCAAAAACGTAATTTAGTTTTTTTATTTAGCCATTCAGAAGTGGACTTGCTGGTGTGTTTCAAATTGTTGTCCTGCTGCATGATCCAAAAGCGCTTGAGTTTGAGGGTGCAAACTGATTGTCGGACGTTCTCCTTCAGGATTTTCTAGTAGACGGCAGAGTTCATTGTCCCATCAATCACAGCAAGTTGTCCTGGTCCTGAGTAAGCAAAGCAGCCACAGACCATCACCCTGCCACCACCATGCTTCCATGTTGCCATGATGTTCTTTTTACCAAATACAGTCAAACCTCGGTTTTCGACCATAATCCGTTCCAGAAAGCTGTTCGAAAACCGAATTGTTTGAAAACCGAAACCACGCTCTTTTTAATAAAAACATCTTTATTGAAGACGTCTGTTCACAATGGAACGCTACACGAGGAAGCGTCACTTCCTCGTGTAAGGAAGGCGAGAGGAGTCAAATGGCGCATTCAAGTGCGCTCAGTTTGTTCGAGAACCGAAATTCGGTCGTCATCCGAGGCATAAAAAAACTCGAAATTTTTGGTCGAAAACCGATTTGGTCGAGAACAGAGACGTTCGAAAACCGAGGTTTGACTGTACATCCATTTTTTACCTCATACGTAACGAGACGCACGACTTCCAATAAATTACATTTTTAACCCATTAGTCCACAATTTTCCTAAAGTCTTGAGGATCATCAAGATTTCGTTTGGCAACTGTGAAATAAGCCTTTTTGAGATGTTTTGGACAGCAGTGGTTTTTGCCTTTGAACTCCCCCATGGATGCCATTTTTGACCAGTGTCTTTCTTATAGAAGAGTCGTGAACACTGACCTGAACTGAGGTCAGCGAGGTCTAGAGTTCTTTAGGTTTTGTTGATGTGGTTCTGAAAAGAAGTTGTAAGGTTGACTGTATGAGAAACTCACATCATCTCATTTCAATTAGTGCTTTTCAAGTCTCTACTCAACACACAAACCTCATTGGCTGATGTTCTAATTATGCCATTGACGCAGTATCCACAAGTATACAAGTGATCTTCGCTTTAATGTTCCCAAGTGCCAACATAAGATGTTTATGGTTCCAAATGGTGCGCAATGAACTCGTTTTTTCAGCGACATATGCTCTCAGGCACCACAAGAAGGCACACTCAGTTACTGGCCAAATGAATGTTTTTCACTTGTTTGTTTTATATTTATGGCCTAGAATGTTTTTCTAAGAAATATTTCCTCTCAGTGCGATTTAACTTCAGTGTTAGCTTAGGTTAATGATAGACTACTGCGCTTTTCCATTTACACATAGTTAGGTTATGTCATCGCCAAAGGAACGTAACACAATTATAGAGCAAGGACCCCCTGTACTCCTTTCGAGTGAATTGGTGTTTGCTCATTTGACTTTGTTGGATGCTGTACAATTGTTGCTACAAGATTAGACTCGTAGCGCAACTGAAAAAGCTGACTGATGTGTAACTCCTTCTTCGCATTGTGCGCCTTATTATCAATTTAGAATCCAGAAGGAAGTGCCAAGCAAGGAGTTGCTGGAGCAGGAGATGCTATGGATGAAGGAGCATCTCTCTACACTGGGGTCGCCTGTGGTGCTCTGCCACAATGACCTGCTCTGCAAGAACATAATACACAACAGCAAAGACGGTACCGATACATTTTCCTACTTTAGTGCTGACTTTTAATTCATTAATTGTGCAACTGATGAATGTAGCCGTCTGACCTGCCAAGCATAATGTTGAGTTTGCAGGTGTACATGGAATGCACTGACAACCTCCTTGTCTTGTCTTTCAGCTCACGTTCGGTTCATAGACTATGAGTACTCCAGTTACAACTACCAGGCTTTCGACATTGGCAACCACTTCAACGAATTTGCAGGTTCGTGACCTTTTCTATCCATGTTCAATGCACAGGCCTTATCTGCCATGTATATGTCCTTTGACAACAGTGCACACAGGAGGGCAACAAATATATCTTATTGCAGTCTATTTAGCTTTTTATTAAATCTGATCTTCACATTGCAAACACAAATGGGACATCTAATGCAGGGGTCCCCAACCGCCGGTCCGCGGACCGGTACCGGTCCGCCGGGCATTTGGTACCGGGCCGCACAGAAAGAACTTGCCTTAATTCCGTTTTATTTATTTCGGAATCCGAAAGATGTTTTATTTTGAAAAACTACCGGATTCCCCGTTACATCCATCTGTGTCACGCTTGACACACGTCAAGCCATGCTTCTCCATCACGTGACCGATTACTTCAAAACAAAACACAGAAGCTCGCAAAATGGGTAAAAAAACTGCTGGAGATCGCAAATCACGGCGGCCTTAAAAGTACGTTCGAGACAACTGGATTAAAGTTATGGCTGAATACTCTGAGATCGCCACAATAGCACTGTTGCTATTTCCGACATCCTACCTGTGTGAGGCGGGGGGTTTCTGCAGCAACGGCGACGAAAACAAAATTACCAAGTAGACTCGACATAAACCACACACTTGAGGTGTCATTGTCTCCTATTACCCCGAGATGGGACCGTCTGGTTGCAGAAAATCAAGCTCGGTGCTGTGGTGAGTCGTCATTTTCATGCACTTTGAATTTGCGTTGTATCGGATTTTGAAGGCATTAAACATTGCCGTAGCGATCGGAGTGTTGCGGCCAGATTAGACGCTCCTTGTGTTTGTTATTATATTTCGAAAATGCCACAGTTTTCATGCAGCTCATACCATATTATTTGTTGTATTATTTCCGCCACACCTTAAATGCCGGCCCCTGAAAATATTGTCTGACATAAACCGGTCCGTGGGGCAAAAAAGGTTGGGGGCCCCTGATCTAATGTGACCGGAACATGTCCGGGATTCTGCACACAAAGCACAATATCAAATGACACTCAACCCCCCGATTTCCCCCCCCCAAAAAAAGGTGTCATGTCCCGAAAGTAAATACGGTTCCCTCTTGTCATGACAGAGGAGCGAGGCGGGAGGAGGTAGAAATATTTTGGGGGATATGTGGCGACGCTTCTCGATCTCCTCATTTCAAGCAGATGTCGACTAAAGATGAAGTCACGTCATTGCCCCATGAAACGAATGACCCGTCTGCCTGGCTGAATCAATACTATCACCACAAATGTCCACTTTACAACATTTTTGATGCTGTGTGTTGTCGCAATCAATCATTTTTCCTGAGTTGAGGGGGTGCATAGCGCATATGAAGCGGACACGTACTTCCTGATCCTGCATCACAGCGAGGCCCATTTCAAATCCGCTCATTTCTGCATGCTTTTGCTTTTCAAAGGCTATTGCATGCAAACGCCAAACTGCATAGATGTCAATCTTAAACCATGTCACAAACTCATATGGACATTTCTTATGCATAATCTCATGGGGGAAAAAATTAATTATGATGAAAGGGCCCCTTTTGAGCAAAGCAAGATGGTACGACACGGCATGACAGATCCTGGTTTGATTTTGTGACTAGGCATGGCAGAGCTGGACTATGGCCTGTACCCAAGTCCGGAGATGCAGATGGACTGGCTCAGATTCTACCTGCAAGCTTATAAACTTTTCACCAAGAAGACAGAAGAGGTCAGCGCTAAAGAACTAGAGACACTCTATGTGCAGGTCAACAAGTTTGCTCTGGTAAGGAAGCCTACTTCAGTATGAACACAAGTCTCATCCACCCATTAAAACACACTCTGACATCCCCGAACGACACTGTCTCTTTGAAGGCTTCTCACTTCTTTTGGGGTTTCTGGGCCCTCATTCAGGCCAAATACTCCTCTATCGACTTTGACTTCCTCAGGTAAGTATGTGTGAGTGTGTGTCAGAAAATGTTCAGAATCAAAAGGAACGTGTTTATTTGGATGTGAACTTTTGCCTTCAGATCGTGACTGCACGATTGGCAGATTTTGCAACCCAACCTGCTAAACTTGCTTGGTGGGTTGAAGTTTATGGAAAGCAAAATAGCATGTGACACACTGTCAATTTAATTTGCCATTTAAAAATCGACAAAACGCTGTTAACTCCTGAAAAGGGGAAGCTCTTCTCACAATACAGAAGCATATTATTGTGGCATATACTGTAAGTGATATTGTCTACTCAACTATAGAGAGCACTTAAAAAAAAACCCACCACTGCATACAAAGTGCTGTATACAGCGGTAGAGCAAAATTAATTCATACAACAAACAAAATATGAATTACGAAGACAGTTAAAAGCACAAAAACAATAATGCTAAAGTCAAGTCTCACGTTGAGTCAAAAGCCAAAGAATAAAAATGAGTTTTAAGACTAGTTTTAGGAATGGGCAGCGAAGAGGGGGGTTGCCGAACTTTCAGTGGGAGGTCATTCCAAAGAGAGGGACAGGCAACGGAAAGGCTCGATCCACTCTGAGCTTCCACTTAGCTCTTGGTACCCCTAACTGGTACGCAGACCCCAGGCACCAGGCAGGGGTGGAGGAGCTCAGAGAGGTAAGGTGGGGCGAGGCCATTTAAAGATTTGAAAACAAATACTAGGATCTTAAAAAGAACTATGCCGGAGTAGGAGTTTATATGCTCCCTCTTACGAGTACCAGTCAAGAGGTGAACAGCAGTATTCTGGAGCAACTGGAGATGCTTAATGGAGGCTTGGCTGACTCCAAAGTAAAGTGCCTTACAGTAATCCAGCCAGGACGTGACAAAGGCATGAATTACTGTTTCAAAGTGCTCATGAGAAAGGAGGGAATTTTACTTTAGCCAACTGCCTAAGATGAAAGAATCTGGATTTAACAACGGCACCAATTTGCCGGTCCAGTTTAAAACTACTGCGCAGTTTAAGACCCAAGTTCGAGATTGTTGGCTTTAGATAAGGAGCCAGGGGTCGTCAAGTTCCACTATGCAAAGTGAACGTTTGAAAATCATTCAATCTCTGAAACAATGTGACTTTTGCACGTGATACTTAGTTGTGACAGTGCCAAAAGCAAATCAGTTAGTCCAACGATGAACAGCTGTGGACCTTTTTTTATTGGAACTACGATCTTTAAGATGTTTCTCTGTACCCACGTGGTGTTTGTGTCTCCCAGGTACGCCGTGTTGCGTTTCAATCAATACTTCAAGATCAAGCCCACGGTGATGGCCTTGCAGATTCCAGAGTGAGAGGAAATGGAAGGCCAACATTATTGGGAGCTCTTCTTTCGGGGGCCAAAGATTATTTGGACTCCTGCTTTTTCTTCATGGCACTTTGCTCTGGAGCAAGCCCGAAAAGCTGACTTCATTCCTCCCAAATGTAGCTCAATATTTGTGACGATGTGTCTTATTCGTCTGACCAACACTGGATGTCTTGCTTCCAGGCAGCTGAACTCTCACTTCGTGTTTGAGTTTGAGAGAGCTTACTTTTTACAAAGAATATGTGCCACTTCCTTGTAATGGAAGTCACGAGAGAGGCATTTGTGTTGAACGCTCCTGTTCCATCGCCAGGTACCTTCTCTCTCTGCTCGACGAGGCTCCTCTCACCACTGAGAATTACGCACACATAATTGTCCTCTGGGTTCTGCAGCGCTTATTTTATTTTTTCTACTGTGCAGTGCTCTGAATCAGTGCCTCAAGCAACCATTAATAAGTGCTTAAGTGGAACGAGCCACGTAGGTGTGGCATTATTCAGTCTGTGGAGTGTGCATTTGACACCATTGCTTCCTTTTATTGTGTCATCCAATTTTCATTCTCTGGTGCTAAATTTTAGCGAAACCGCTGCTGCTACTACTTCTCAGTATCCCAAACATTGTGGGATTTCTCAAAAAAAAAAAAAATGTTTGGGAATCTGCAAAATGGAAAAGCTCTTTGGACACCTTGGAGCTGTCAACGGAGGGGAAAAGCAGCGCGTGCGCATTTCTACGTTTATTGGAAGACTTGTTCAGCATCTCAGGTGAAGCAACTGCATCGACTGTACAGTGACGCTGCTGCATGAACTTAGATGGGCTCTGACCTTGAACTGCTTTTTTTTCACCACCTTGACTTTTATGGTCGCAGTGAGCCGCTCTGTTGATCTTTCCGTCGAAACTTTCCAGACCTCATGGAAAATCACCACCTCAGTCACCTGAGCTGAGGAAAAGTTCCCGCCGGCCGCATCCTTCTCCTCACTTTGCTTTCAAGGCCATTGAATTTAAACAATCCCTAAAAATGCTCTTGACGACCCCCAAAAAATCGACTGCTCCAGAAAATATTTCACGGAACCTCACAATCTTAAACCTGGATCTTGGCTTGTTGATTAACATTGTTTGCCCTTATCTTTTACATCAACTAATGTATTGTCAACTAATGTGGTTAAATGAGTGTTGGTGGTGGAAAGTCAGTCAAGGGTGGTTGAGGTTTTTGCACTTTTTGCTAAGCTAAACTAGCAAGGTGTGTTTGTTTAGAACCCTTTTTTGGCGGGGGGGGATGCTGGGTCAGGTGATAAAAACTCAACAAGAAAAGTGAAATACTGTACCAATGATGCATTTGATTCGTCTTATTTATTGAGGGGAAACATGTTGAAATCATACTGAAAAGCTTAGTTTGCTTGCATTGCACTTCATTTAAGGTTTGGATGTGACGCCGTGTGTGACACTTGACATGATTGACGAATCACTATACAGATTAATTTATTTTTCCTTTCGATGTACTTTTTCTAAATACAGTACTTGACAGGAAAAAAGATAAACCCGGTGATGTCTGCAGGCATGTACGTGATAAATGGACTCACTGACTGCTAAAAGATGTACAAAGATGAAGGCTGTAAATATCATCTTGAGAAATATTGTCAATTGTTTCTGTGCATTGATTCTTTACACTATTGTTGGACTTACGAGATGTATTTAACATTTATTTACTAGTCTTATTAAAATGTATTCAATAAAACATGCCGATTGAGTGTGTTTTATTACCTTTAACCAAACCGCATACACACGTTTGCTCGTGTCCCTCGACGATGTCACCAGGCAGCAGAAGGAAACAGAATCAGAATCATTCTTCCAGGACAACTTGAGTAGCGCTATGTAGAAACATACAAGGAATTTGTCTCCAGCGGTTTGAGTCACTCTAGTATTACAGTAACAAACAACTACAGTATCACCAAAAGAATATTTAGGATGCAACACATACTTGAAGCAAGGAGAGTACCGTATTTTTCGGATTATACATCGCTCCCGATTATAAATCGCACCAGCCAAAAAATGCATAATTAAGAAGGAAAAAACATACATAAGTAGCATTGGAGTATAAATCGCATTTTTGGGGGAAATTTATTCGATAAAATTCAACACCAAAAATATACATGTCATCTTGAAAGGCAATTTAAAATAAAAATAAAATAGAGAACAACAGGCTGAATAAGTGTACGGTATACTAACGTTACATGACTGACATGCCTGGTAATGTCAGTAACGACGTAACATATTAAAGAGTTATTCAGATAACTCTAGCATGAAGAACATGCTAACAAGTTTACCAAACTATCAACTTCACTCCAAATCACTAAATCCAATGAAATCTTCATCCTCGGTGTCACTTTTAAATTTTAAACAACACCCCCAACTTGGGAGGTTGACGATGCGCGGCTTCCTCTTCTACGTCGCTTACGTCAGACTCATCGTCGATTTATCAACACAGGCCGAGAGCGCCCTCATGTGGTTCAATGTGAAAATAACATGTGAAATGACATAATCGTGTTAATAATTTCATACAGAAATCGTTCCAGACAGAGTATAAATCGCACCCCCGGCCAAACTATGAAAAAACTGCTATTTATAGTCCGGAAAATACGGTAGTTAAGATATGTCATGTTACCATTAGTGCGGTTGTACTGAACAATGACAGCCGTGCAGATGATGGAGAGAATCGTCACACAATTTCAAGTGTCTACTGGTTTTTGCGCGCATAGTTCAATAGCACCCACATGAGGGAAGTACAGTAGCTGGAAGAGGTGGTGGGCAGGATATGGAGTGTCCAAGAGCATTTCTTGCTCGTAGAGTGGGTAGCGAGGATAGATTACCTTTCAGCAGTCATAACTTGATCTTTCTTTGCAACAGCAACAAACGAGACTGTGATGGAAGAACTCGGGACGGAATCAATGACTCCTGTACAAGTGGGTGCCAAAGTGTTAGAATACTGAAAGTCCACCTATATCAATAATTTGTTTCCAAAATTAGAACTCGTTTGTTACATTTGTTGCCCATACTCAAAGTGAAATATTTTAATCCTTTGTTTCAATATTGATGAGCATGGCAGAATGGGGGGAAACAACCGGCCTGTAATTGTCAAGAGCTGCGGAGTCCCCACTTTTAAGTAAGGTAAAGACAAATGCAGAGTTACATCCTTGGAGTATTTAATTTGTTGTCAGAGGGTGGCAAATTATTTCTGCTGCCTATTTGAAAAAGAATGATTCCATTTGACCAGGACGAGGTCTTTTTGTAAATCTCATTTTTTTGAGAGACCAATGGTTAGAGAAATGACAAGAGTGGTTAAAGGAAGAAAAGATTACACAGATTAATAGGTCTACAATATCTGTGTTTCAACAAGCTTCTTTATAATATAAGGACGAGCAGTTTGTGTTGTAGTGTATGAAATATATGTTATGTGTTGTGTTTATTATTTTACTTTGTTAACTGTTTTGTTAAGCGCTTTGTTACAGCGTGAAAGCGCCATATAAATCAGGATGTATTGTATTGTATTGTATAAATTGAACATAACATTAAGTTTCTTTCGGTAACTGAAGTGAATTACTGTAAAATCCCGTGAATAACATGCACCAAGCAGCATGTTAATTTGCAGGTGATATAATGTATTGCCACCAGCAAAGAAGTACTTGCAAGTACAGTCGTGGGTCCAGTTCAGGAAAGTTCTAATTTTGAGCCTGAGCATTTAATAATTTTAATTGTGAGTGGATTATTCAGACATGGAATGTGAAAGAGTTACACCCTTTTCGGGACATATTTGTGTTTACTGCAAATTGTCAATTATCTAAATATTAAAACTAAATTCGTTTTCATTAGGGCAGCCCGGTGGTCGACTGGTTAGCATGTTGACCTCACACTGCAGAGGTCGTAGGTTTGATCCCGGCTCTGGCCTCCGTGTGTGGAGTTTGCATTGTCTCCCCCAGGCCTGTGTGGGTTTTCTCCGGGTACTCCGGTTTCCTCCAACATTCCAAAAACATGCATGGTAGGTTAATGGAACACTCTGAATTGTCCTTAAGTGTGAGTGTGGGGCGGATGCTTGTTTGTCTCTGTGTGCCTTGCGATTGGCTGGCAACCGGTTCAGGGTGTCCCCCGCCTACTGGCCGAAGATGTCTGGGATAGGCTCCGGCACGCCCCGCGACCCTTGTGAGGATAGGCGGATCGGAAAATGGATGGATGGATCATTTTCATTAATACCGTATGTATTCCTTATTTCATGATATATGGTTTTTTTTTTCTGTTTAAGAATCAAACGAGAATGCGGAGTTTGGACCCAGAACCAGACAGGACAAGGAAGTTGAAAAGTAAAAGTCTTTATCGATGAAAATACAAAGTAACTACAGAGAGCAGCTCACACCCTGACTGGGAGAAATCTTGGAGGTAGAAATACACCACCCAAAGTTTGGGTGGTTACATATCACTGAGTAATCCGACTTTGTATCGTTTGACATCAAGCCTGTATGACAGAATAAAGAACAAAGCATTAAAGGGCCACAGCAAATGCATCACAACTAAGCACCAAAAGGAACAAACAGTCACAACAGTTAAGTGGTAGTTTTAAGTGGCTCGCCCCTATAAGAGTAAGTTTGGGGGCCGCACCAATTTTGAGAGACAGCAGTAAATTCTGGCACCGGTACTGGGGAAAAATCAAATCTGGCTGTGTCAAAAGGTTCTTCAAAAGGTGGTTGCCATCAACCACTGCTTGGAGATGAATGCCGCTCCTCAAAGAAAACACACAACAGTATTCTATAGTATAGTCACATCTGTTCATTTCTCCACAACAGGTGCATCTAGTTTGACGGGTTCTTATTTTCACCCGGGTCTCAGCCAGCTATAATGCAAAAGCGATTGTGACACAACTGCTTGCGATTGGAACGCAGCCACTCTCGTATGTGCAACGCCTCTGGCCCAAAGTCAGCTGGAGTCGGGTCCACTAGCAAACCTGCCACCCAGGTGAGGAAAAGAGGTACAGAAGATGGATCGATGACCTGCTGAGTATAGCATGATCCCTCTTACTTTTTGTGTGTTACATATATATTTTGTGATTTTTCTTGGCAATGCTGTGGAAATGATGTGCAAAAGCAGGAAGAACGAGATGCTCGGAGGAAAAATCATCCCT